GGCGGGGCCAGCCGGGGGAGCAGAGGCTGAGAGGAGATTAAAGGCCAGCGAGTGGTTGTCATTGGCCATCTGAAAATCGTGGCTTGGTATTTAAGGGTTTAGGCAGCTCACAAATAGCCCGGCGCTCTGCCGGCTCGCTCGGAGCTGGACGCGAGACCTCGGCCGAAAGGGAGGAAAAACCCAAGGTGAGGATGCGTCCGAGCCCGCTCCCAGCCAGCTCTACCCTTTCCTCTGACCCCTTTCCCAGTTTGGAGTTGAGTGAAGGGGCTTGTAAGCGATTTGGGCGGCTTGGGATTGTTTAGGCAGCTCACAAATAGCCCGGCGCTCTGCCGGCTCGCTCGGAGCTGGACGCGAGACCTCGGCCGAAAGGGAGGAAAAACCCAAGGTGAGGATGCGTCCGAGCCCGCTCCCAGCCAGCTCTACCCTTTCCTCTGACCCCTTTCCCAGTTTGGAGTTGAGTGAAGGGGCTTGTAAGCGATTTGGGCGGCTTGGGATTCCCCCCTTTGGCCCATCGGTGCTCGCGAAAAGGGTGGGTGAGATTTTTTGAGGGTGGGGTGGGGAGAAGGGGAAGCTCTTCAGCTGGGATGTGAGCGTGGGGTCTGCAGGCAGGGAGCGGGCCTTGTCGTAGCTCCTCTTCTGGAGCGTTTATTTCCTTGGGGGAGAGGAGAGGGAGAGACCCCTCGGCCCTCCTGCGAACCCCGAGCAGCATTTTGGGCGGCGAGGGGGTGCAGGAGGACGCGCTTTCCTCCTCCGGCGTTGAGCGGTGAGGCAAACCCTGTGATAACGTGGAAATTCTCCAGGGGGTTAAGGGAGAGGTGGGGCAGGTCCTTCACCAAAAGGTTTGCTCACCCTTGTGGTTGGGTTTTTGGTGGGTTTTTTTTTGGATGATGGAGCTTCGTCCCGCAACGTACGATGGGGACGGGTCCTCCGAGGTCCCTGGGGGATGTCTGGTGCGGTGGGTCACGGGCTGCAGCACCTGGAGAACAACGCCAAAAAAAAAAAAAAACCCCAACCCCCCCAAACCCCGAGGGGTTTCCTTTCGGGTGGTGATCGGTGTTTTGACTCGAGCCGGCATCTCCTTCGACTTGGTGCAGGACCGTCCCATCCTTCCTTCCGTAGGCGCTCGGGGAAACCGCGGGCGAAGCGTCCTCGGGGAAGGGAGGGAAAACCCCGATGGTTTGAGAGCTGTGGTGCTGCCTGAGGGATCCCTGCGTGACCACCGAGCTGCGGGGGGGTGGGATTGAGGGGTGACGAAGGAGGTGGCCAGCCTGGAGGGGGGCTGGGCTGGGGGAGGCAGCCCGGGCTGGTGTCGTAAGAGACGGCGTTGGGCTTAAGGCTGTTTGAAAAGTGCCTTGTAAGGTCAGGGTGACATTGCCGTGCTCTAATTTAAAATGGAAAGGCATTATCCCCTCTGTCAGCTGGTGGCTCCTGAGCTCACACCCGGCCGGTGAGGTTTAAAAATTGATAAATAACGCATTTCCAGGGGCTCGCAGAAATGAAATAAGGCCAAACAGGCTGGTTGGAGTTGTCCTGCTCCCGTCGTCACCTCGGGTTCAGAAGCTGCTGCTGGATGAGGGGTCCCCAGCGGTACCCCCTGCGCTGTCCTGCGGGATTTTCTTCTTTATTCCCATAATAAGTTGATATTTTATTCCCATAAAAGGGTGATAATGAACCTTTTTTCCTCCCCGGAGAAGCAGGCATGTGAAAACACCCATTTTTTATTTTTTTTCTTTCTGGCTAAAGGAACAACCGCAGAAAGGTCTGCGTGGCCCCAGGCTGCCTGGTTTTTCCCCTCTACCAGGCACCAAACCCTTCTCTCTCGCCACAAGACACCTTGAGCTGGAGCCAGTGCTCCGGGAAACGTGGAAATAAACCCCCGAGCGGGTTCGTGTCCCGGATCGCAGCCGCTGTGGCGAGGCGTTGGGGGTCAGCAGTTGCTGAGCTGCTGGGTCTGGCCTTCAGCACGTTGCCTGCTTGTGGCAAAGGTGGGGATATTTATCCCAGGACCGATGGGAAACATGTCAGTGGCCATCGGGCTCGTGGCTTGTGCTCTCTAGGATGTCAATGGGCAACCTCAGAGGCGCGGTGATCCCGTGGGTATCCCATCCCTCGCTCGGAGCTGCCTACTCGTAACTCTGGCTGATTTCTATCCTTTTTTTTTCTTCTTGCCACCGTCTCCTGCAGACTCTCCTTGAGGCTTCCCCGCCGTGAGAGGGACGGGGCTGTGACTACACCGCCGTCAGGACAAGCGTTAAGCTGGCGTTGCCCAGGGCCTGTGGCTGTCCCCTGGTGTTTCCCCGATGTCACCAGGCACAGACTGGTGTTTTCCTCCCGTTCCTGAAAGTTTTCTCTAGCATTTGGGTCCCTCCAGGACCCAACCCTAGTGACAGAGAACGGAGCTGGCTGGAATTATCCCAGTTCAGTGGCAGCTGGAGCCCAGTTTCCTCCTCTTTTTGGATTATATCCTGCGAGTTTAACCTCAGTCCTTAGAGAACGAGTGCTCACGCTGCAGTGATACGTGTCCTTTATTTGTCCTTTATTTGCCTGAGGTGTTTGTTGCCCAGGTAGAAATTGGGGCCAGCAGCAAAGCGAGGTGAAGCTCTCCTGCTGGTGGCCCCTGCTGTCTGCTTTCCAAAACAATACCTGACTCCTCAGGGGCTCCCAGCTCGGAGCTTTTGAAGTGGTGCCGAGGTGGCAGCTCCCAGTTTGCTTATTTAATACTTGTTTGGATTCCCCCCCCCGTGTTCCCTTCGCTCCCAGTGGCTTCCTATCAGCTCCAGGCTTGTGATTCCTCAACGTTTCAGGTTTGCCTGCGGCGAGTTGTAGCTGAGGGTAAAGGATAGGCGTCGCTTCGTGGGGCTGAGCGCCCCTGGGAATCCTCAGCTCTGTGTTTTCGTGGGTGTTTCTAACCAGACACGTGTTTTTCTCTCTCTTTAGCCATGCAGGGACCGAGGCCAGTGGTTCTGAGCGGCCCGTCGGGCGCAGGGAAGAGCACTTTGTTAAAGAAATTGCTTAAAGATTATGAGAACATCTTCGGCTTCAGTGTCTCCCGTGAGTACCCGTACGGCTCTGGGCAAGGGCAGCGCAGGGGTTCAGGGCCACGAGCCCCGAGGCTGCTTCTGTAGCCGCGTTCAGGCCCCAAACGATGGGTTTCCACGGCTTTCCTGCGTCCTGCTCTCTGTGGGTGCTTTGGGATGTTTCAGGAGGCCTTTTTCCTCCTGGTACTGAGGGGCAAGTCTGAGATTTGCCTGGAGGAGCAGCCTTTCCAGGTCTGGTGACTCCCTGCACCTCTAAACACAGCTCAGAGAGGTGATGAGATTTTTTCTGAGCCATTTTTGGCTCTGAAAATAACAAAATCCATCCCCCCC